GGCTATATGATAAAGACAAAAGACTGATCTGTGCAAAATTTTAGCTTCCTATATTTATTCGTTTTGACTCTAGCGTGATTACTGCAGACGGACAGATGAACGGATTACAGGTCGACAGGTCGTCTTAGAATTTTACGCTGATCAAGAGTATATATTGTACTTTGTTAGGCCTAATGTCATTATTTCGATGAGTTTCAAACGGATTGACGAACTCCATACTATGTATGATGGAGGGTATAAAAACAACGTTTATTTATTAGTGGGAAATGGTTATTTTTATCAGGGGTAAGGAAGGGAATACCATGGCTTTGAAAATAGCCACCAATCTTATTCATTGCTTTGGTTTTGTATATGGATATTCTCCCGAAAGAGCTTAGAATAAATGCCAAAGGAATTTTGGTCTTGTTTGTTTTATTTGTTCCTCTTCTATTGAGCTTGCGATCGTCACTTGGGGGTAAACTGTTAAATGGTTTTATATCAGATCTTCGATAACAACAAAGAATTCGGCACATTTTAGGAATTAGAAAGATAGCAATTTTCCTCTGTGAAATGTCTATAATTTGTCAATATAGAACCACATTCAAAACCCCGATATATATCCCAATCATATTTTCTTGTAATTTAGTGTTCCAGAAATTTAAAATAGTTGTCGATTTCATCATATTACCTTCCATCCGGAATTTTAGACCACTTTAGGACTTGAATCAAATTTTCTATCTGATTTTGCCAGAATTGGAATTTTCCTTCCATGAAGGAAGGCAAAATATTACAATCCTTATCCCATATTATGGAATAATAAAGTTCTTCTGCGAAATTCAAATGTTTTCTTGGAACTTAAAGAAGCTGATGAAATCTTTGAGTGCAAAATTTAAAGTCGCAACACTAAGGATTTTATAAATCCTATTGTTGTTGTTTCAATAAAATACATTCGCACAAAAATACTTGGATTAATAATCGTTGAGAATCTTTCCTTAAGTTGACGAGAGGTGATGAGATTGAATTTGAACCAATTTTAAAAATAACCTCAGATGACTGTTGTGGGCCATTTTATATATTTTAATTATAATTTTTACAGTAATCTCCCAAATATAACTTTGAAATTATCATTAATGGCTTATATATTAAAAAAAAACGATATCAAAGAAAATAAAAATTGTATATCTAATGTAGGGCATGGGTATGCGGCAATTTTGTAATTTACTTTAAAAGTGTCATAACAAAGAAAATTATCAAATGTCTTTGGGAAAATTACACTTTGCATTATCAATATGATAGATCATAAAATATTTCGGTTCACATTTAACGATATCGATTCTGGATATTTGTACAAGACAAAAAATCCTCGGCCATAACAAGTCAAAAAAATATTTAAATGGGTTTTGTCACGCTTTAAAAAATGGACAAAAAAGTACCAACTTAAAAATATGATTGTGATCTTTGCCTCTTTGGGCAAATAAAGCTCACTACCGGTATTATTAATTTCCAGTGGTATTTTTTAACGTAATGAGCTGAATTTTTACATTTTGGACTATAAGTATGTTGAAATTTATCCTGCAAAAAAACCTCAATATAGAATATTTAGTAGGTAGACTGTTTTTATGAAAATCTTTTCCGTCTTTTTCTTTTAACGTTTTAGCCTCCGTATGACGGTACCTCCCGATGTTCGGTATTTTGATGGTTTTAGCCACAGTTTTCCACGGATTTGTCAACACATTGATATTTGTAGTTAGTAATGGGTTCCAACTCCGGTGGCAGAGTACTAGATATGTAAGTCCAAGTTTTCCCATAGTGCATGCAGGTCGAGTTAAAAAAAAAACCTCAACAAAGTCAGACGACATAATTAGTTACCTTTGGCACGAATTATGGCCTTCAAATGGCCAATGAAACAGTCACACGCTGCCCGAATGTTGTTCAGAGGTATTTTTTGGCCTATTCCCGGCGTAGCGCTTACTTGAGGTGTTCGGCACTTTGGTATTTTCTAGTGCCAACCTTGCTTTCCAAAATACCCCAGACACAATAGTCCAACAGATTGGTTTCCGGAGATTTTGGTGACCATTGTGCGCTGAAAATGAAGCGAGGAACCTCATTTTGTAACCATTCTTGGGTGGTGCGTACTGAGTGCGATGGCGCTGAGTCCTGTTGGAATGTCCAAGGTCTGCGGCCAAAATGTTTGCGTGCCCAAGGCCTTAATACACCCTCCAGAATATTCTCGCGATAGTTTCTCATTTTTCAGTATTAGCAGAATGGAATATTGCGATATGTTCAGCTCACGAGTCATTTTTCGGACACTGCGTCGCGGGTTTCGATCAAGTCGCTTCTTTTCTTTTCGGACCATTTCTGCTGATGTTGATGTTTTCTTCCGTCCACTTCCTTGACGTCGTATATATATATATATATATATATATATATATATATATATATATATATATATATATATATATATATATATATATATATATATATATATATATATCCTTAATTCGATTTCAGGTTTATTGTGCAATTGTTGGCTAATATCACTATGTGTTGGGGGTATTATAAGTTTGATTGGGCCAAAAATTATGTAACACCTCGAAATATTGGTTTCCTACATAAGAAAGTATATATGGATCTTCCTATCTCGCCTAACTGAGTCGATCTAGCTATGTATGTCCGTCCGTCCGTCTGTCCATGTTAATTTGTAATCACTCTACAGGTCGCAATTATTGTCCGATCTTCACGAAATTTAGAATGTAGGTGGGGCTATGATCAGAATAGAACCCTATTGCTTTTGGAGATGATCGCATAATATCTAGGGGTTGAAATAGACCAAAAACTGAAAAATTTCATGATTTTGCAGCTGCTCTACAGGTCGCAATTATAGACCAATCGAAGCGGAAGTTAGCATGGGGCTAGAGCTTCAGGCTGGGCAGAAGCCTTGCAATTTTGGTGGTCATCGGGTAATATTTAGTGGGTGAAATAGACCATAACATTTCTTTTAAATAAACTTCAAATTTTCCATTGAACCGCGAATATTTTTAATCCCGGTGAAATAAATAAATAGACGAACAGGTCAATCCTGACCGTTAGGTAGATGCCGATAGTAAATATATCGGATATATATAGCGATATATATACAATACATATATACAAAGAAAGGGGATGTTAGCTAGAATGCTTATATCTCAAGAATGGCTGAACCGATTTTGACAAATGTTGTAAATTCAGAATGCCCTCATGGCATAAAAGTGTAAAATCTGAAAAAAATCGCAAAAACAGACGCCTATGATGATGTTAATATCGATTTTGTAGTATTTTGTGACATTTTTCTATTTTTTCATATTTTTTTATCGCATGCGATATTTTCAATTTGACTTATAATATTGAAGGGTATTATTTGTAATATTTTTTCATTTTACACACATATTATATGCAGATTGCAATTATCCTCACGAAAAGGGTAGGGTTCGGCTCAGAAGGGCTAGGCCTGTTATTTTCAAAGATGTCCGCAATATATTTAGGGGTTGAAATGGACCAACAACTAAAAATGTTCCTGTTTTTGCAGCCGTTATAAAGGTCACAAATATAAACCAAAGTACACGAAATCTCGCATAAAGTTAGAGTTTAGGACAGCGGGTACAATAGTCCACTAATTTTGTATGAAAAAATGCCAGCATTACTCACATGCGATATCCGAAATACACAAAAGGCGAACTTCTGGCTTTTTCTGACTTCTGGCTTTAATTTCGCAGACTAATATCTTAGACAAGAAAAGCATATAGATGAGTCTAAATTGGGAGATACAGAGAGGCCTCTTGCTTTTAGAGAAATATGAATCAAAAACAGAAAAAAATCCTGATCACACAATTGAAGCCATTCGACATGCCTGAGAAGAGCGTTAAGGACAGGGAAGAATTCTAGCTTTTTGGATGGCCATTGGATTATGTTTAGCTATAAAATGGACCACAACAACTAACAGCACGACGCAGTGCGTAAATATTGGGCAAATGTCCCTGGTCAAAATGCTGAGGGTAATATCTGGGCTGAGCACCATGACATATTTTCAAAAGCGAACTCTTCCAAAATGGATTTGGAAATAAGGGGGCTTGTAACATATTGTAGTGTTGTAGGGTATCACATGGTCGGCCCCGCACGACTATAGCCTTTGCTTACTTGTTTTTTAATATAATCCTTCCTAGCAATGTTATTTTATATCAAAAGATAAAAGTTTCTCCATCAAATTTAGTAAATATCGATTCAGAATTGGATATGCCTCCCATATATTAGTTCCCTTTGAAACCAAACTAAAAATGCTCTAAAGCCAAATATTGATAGGTGGTATGGTCCACTTCAAATAAATTCTTTTTTTACGTGAGCTCTACTAAATTAGCATAGTGATGTAGGGTATCATATAGTCGGCCCCGCCCGACTTATGACTTTTCCTTACTGTATTTATTCTCTAATTATAAAATATAATGCAGTTTTTTACTATTTATTGGAGATTCCTTTTTATATTTTGAGTATGTTTTTTTGGTTTTCAAAATTCCATTCTTGTGAATAATTCCGGCAAAACAATATCTTATCACATATGGCAACATTGTTGGCAATTTAACGTTCAAACATTTTTTTTTTTTTTGCTTTCAATCAAAATAAAATAAATTTAATTTGTGAAAATAAAGCGCCAAACTCTCGACTCAAGAAGAAAATTGAGAAGACAACAGAGAACCAACAAGGGCCAATGAATTGTACATATGTGTGTAACTGAACTGAAACCCAAAACTCTCACCACGATCAGCAAATGCCGACGACGACGAAGACGATGATGATGTCGTTGATAATGATAAAGGAGGTGGTAGTGGTGGTGGTGGTGGTGTGTTGTGAACGACGATCGTTTCTGCGGTGAGTAGCAGTAGTTTGTGTTGATGTTTGGTTAACGACGACGACGATGATGATGAGACAAACAACACCGGTCTGATGAACACCAACAAGCAAGTTTCTTATAAATAGGGCCCATCTAACAGGCCAGCCGATCAGTTGACAAAAACGCTTGAAGCAAGCAACATCGTAACGCTTATTTTATTTTTCCACAAGTTGTGAATAAACAGCCGTCTATTTTTGTTAGTAGTGGCAAAATTGTTGATAGCAAATTCAATACAAATTTTATTTAATTAAAAATTTAGATAAGATTGTGTCAAAAAAAAAAACAAGAAAAGGGAAACAAAAATTTGGACCCCCCTTACCAGTGATTAGCATAACAAGTTGACGATATTTTCGAAACTTGACTTGAATTCCAAAATTGTATTTCTGTGCAAAATAAAGTAAACACGCGTTTGCGGGATTTTATTTGAAAGAAATTTGAAATCCAAAGAAGAAAAGCGAAAAAACATCATCATGACCGGCTCCAGTGCAAGTGACAGCTCCTGCCTTATTGCCAAGTCCAAGACTAATGGCACTGAAATGAATGGCAATACTACCCGCAATACCTATACGGCCATTGAGAATAATACGTAAGTATTCTTTTCTAGTTTCATTTTTCTAGCCATGTATGTGGATTTCCTGTAAAGGGAAGTTGTCTCAGCATTCCATTGAAGGGAACACATGTAATTATGAAACCCCTTTGGGTTGTTATTGTAATTGATGACCTGTTCCAACTCGTTCGTCATAACAAGTTTTGAAATGATCCATAAAAGTTGACTTTATATTATCAAGAAATAATGCCCACAATGGGCAGTCAGCACCTAACAAATGTTGTCTTGTAAAGCCAAAGAAGAGTGATAAGAGTGCCAATAAAACACACATGGAGATGGAAAATTCCAGAAGTGAAGTAAATTAAATAGGGATATTATTGATGAGGATGAGAGGATGTAAACAAATTGCTCCGTGAAAAAATTTAAAATGAAAATCTTTTCACCAATTTGGTATTTTCGCATGTCAGTGTGTTTGAATTATTCTTGCAGAATATTAAAAGTAATGGCACATTCTTGTAAAAGGCTGGTATTAAAATGCAGCCGAATTTCCGGTATTTTGAATTTTTATTAAATATTTAAAAAGAAATATGGACATTGAATTGAGAACTAATTGTGGATATTTATCATCATATGTAATCAAATATCTATATGAAAAATCTGAAAAGAGATTATAAAAATGGGTGATTTGGATTTTATATTTTTGAAAGGGACATTTCAGATCCGTATTTCGTCTATCAGTGTGTACAAAACATACATACAATATACTGAATGAAGGATTATTTGTAAAGGGGTCCGTATAACGATACCCCCAAATTGTCTACATTTTTAAAGGTAAATTTTTGTAATAAGTCCAGATTTTTCGTCATTTTGAAAATTAATTCGATGTAATCATAAAATTTAGTGTTTTTGATTCCAATTGGGCAATTATTGGGTTAAGTATTCATACAGTGGCATAGTTCAGTTTTCGATATTTTAAAATTATATATTTTAATTTTTAGATGGTTATAAGTCATTTCCTGTCGAAAATTGTCAAGGAAGGTTCATGTTATATTGAAACCGAATTTTTAATATCTTTTATTTTCCAACTGAATCATTTTCTTCTGCAAAACTTTAGATTTGTAATTTGCAGAACGAAACATTAAGACCCATAATTACTTTTGAGGATCCTTATGAAATAATGTTCTGAATCGAATTATGGATGTCCGTCTTTTTATATCCTTAACCATACATAATATGGAGGGTATATTAAGTTCGTCATTCCGTTTGTAACTCATTGATCAGCGCAAAATTCTAAGACGATTTAGCCCTGTCCGTCCATCTGTTTTAATCACGCTGGAGTCAAAACGAATAAAGATAAAGAACAAATTTTGCACAGATCAGTATTTTGTCTGCAGGCAGGTCAAATTCAAAGATGTGGTATATCGGTCCACGATATCGTATAGACCACTTATAACGGTTCCCCCCGATATTTGGTATTTTGATGATTGTAGCCAAATTATTCAATGAAATTGTCTAAAAATCCACTTCTGAATAATGTACCCCTTGGAAGAGTATAGATCCACGATATCGTATATCCCCCATATAACGGTACCTCCCTATATTCGGTATTTTCATGATTTTAGCTACATTTTTCAATGGAATTATCTAAAAATTCATAATAGAAGTTCTTTTTACGCACCTTATCCAAGCCCTGAGTAGCAAGGAATCGTATTAGAGATGGTCTACAAAAAAACTCTTGAATTTGGATATCTTATCTTGACAGCATTGACATTGACTAAATGGGGAAGCTTTTTAATTCAATACTTTTTTTTAGAAATATAGACAAAAACTTTCTAGATTATGGCATTTAATTATCTATAAAAGATTCATATTTATTGGAATGCAAAAAAAAAAAAAAAAAAAAAAACAATTACAAAAAATTAATTTTCTAATAGACTTTCAGGCTGTCTTCTCTTATAGCTTTAGACAACAAACTTTCTTTTTCAAGCCGTTGAAAATTGTACTCGTATGTCTGAGCAATAAATATTTACATTGAGGTTTGTTAACCTTGGGTTTTTTTCATACAAGGTGTGGTCAATTGGCCAATTGTGCCTTTTTCATTGGTTAAGAATACGACAGACAGATATATTACCATAGATGACCGTCTAGCCGAAAGGCAGTTTACACTGCACAGTGGTCGCTGCCATTGGCCAAAATTCAAAAATTGAAAATCAGATATTTATTGTCAAATGTGTACAAATGAACTCTTAAGGGGTTAAGCTTTTTAGAAAACATAATAATCTTGGCTTCATTCTAACGGGACACTTCGAAAATAGCATCAAAAAAGAGAAAATGTAGTTAGTTGTTTTTTTCAGTGGGATCAGAGAAAAAGTGGAGTAAAAATAGAACTGTATTACAAAATTAAATACATTTTAAAATTACAAATCTTGGCATTATTATTGAAAAGCAAGGTATTAATTTATTTTTAGTGTGAGTGTTCTGAGTTGCCTTTAAGATTAATTTTGAAAATAAAATTGGATTTCAGTTAAAGTTTTAATTGTTTTCCCCCCTGAATCCTCCAATGTGATTTTTTTCACGCTATTAGTAATGGTCCTAAGATTCTAAAAGTGCTAATTTAACTTTCAGATTTTGTCAGATTTGTATGTTATGCCCAATATACTGAAGGGGCTTCGCTGCAATTTTGTCAGTTCTATGGTGCTAGTGACATAGAATATGTTTTTGTTGTTAATGATTGATAAGGATGTAATTGAGGGGTGTTCAATAATGTTGCAAGCATTGTCCTCTGGGTATAATATTTATGTCGAAAAAGTTAACAAATTTATATCCATGGCACTATCTTCCAAGTTTCGACTAAATCATGCCCGAAAAAATTCTCGTGTTTCAAAAAACACAGATCTTATTAACCGTCTTCCTCTGAGTTCTGACCCTTTTATAATGGGACAGCGAGCCGTACCAAACAATAACCAGTAAATAAAGTCTTAAAGTCGAGCGGGGCCGACTTCATGATACCCTACACCACTTTGCATATTTAGTATAAATAAAGGTTTTAATGGGGAATTTGTGAGAATTAAATCATACAAACAATGATTATAGTAATAATTGAAAGTCCAAAGAAACTAATATATGGGAGGAATATCCTCCTCTGAATCGATTTCTATTAAATTTTTCGAGGCAGTTGTGCCTTTTCAATTCGGGCTTGTATTATCCATTTGGTGCACAATTAACTTGAAATCGAATAGATATATATGAGAGCTATATTTCCCCAAATATCGTTGTCACAGAGTGTATATTATATTAAAAATTACAAATCGGATGAACAATATATATGGGAGCTATATATATATCTGAACCGATTTCGATCAAATTTGGCATACTTATTTTCAGGTCCCATCTGGTCGTACGTATATTCCATACTATTTGGGCTGATATTACAAGTTTGGTGCACAATATAAGGCAAATTGGATGAAAATATATAGGAGCTATACGTAAATTTTGACCGGCTATATCCAATTTCAATAGGGCCTTAAGTGAAACTAATTATTTGTGCAAAATTTATCTTTGATTTAATTTTACACTAAATTGTTATTTTATTTTGTTTACAAAAAATAATCAAATTTGGACTAGATTTGTATAAAAAATGCTTCTATTTTTGGAGGTACCTTACAAGGGACTCTACCTGATGGCGGGCTGTTCCAAATAATTTTCAGTAAGATTATTTTTTAGCTCCTTAGAACGTAAAATGTCAAACAACATTACAATCTGGTGTAGAAATGTGACAAGAATTGGGCAAATAACCCTTATTCGGGAGGTACGTTATATGGGGACCATGTCAAAACATGCATCGACCATATCCATTTTGTCACATTTTTTATATTTATCCCATCAAGGTACCATAACCAAAGATTCATATTGATATCTGCACTGAAAGTATTTTTGGCCGCTGTTCCCATACGACCTCGACCACTGTGCACTGGCTGTGTTTTTTTTTGTAGAGAAAGAGTTATTTATATTATTATTATGCAGAGCTCGAAAGAGAAGACACGTCTTTGGGCCCTTTGAAAGATAGCCCTAATTGAGAATGCAAATATCCACTTCCTCACCTTGTTTTTGAAATTTTTAGATTACTTTTCCATGGAATCTTTACGGTTTAGGTATGAAGTATCTTTGGATAGTTAAGGTTAAATGTGGTAGAAAATGTTAACCCTCAAACAAGTTACCAACGGGATTTTTTGAAATTTTTCATTTTAAATAGGACATAGCAAGTCGAAAATTCCGCAGAATTATCTGTCGTGAAATTCTACTGTAAGTCCCAGTATATGTCATAATTCTAAATCCAATTTTAACCCCACAAATTTAGATCGATTCAACAGTCTATGTTAGGCCGTCTTACTACTCAATATTCACAATTTGTTTAGTTTGAAAAAATTTAATCAAAACCTCATAGGTTCAAGGTTTTATGTATCAATTCCAAATACCAAAAGATCTCAATATCACATTTCATAATTACAGCTCTATAATTTCCAAATTAATTATCACATTTAGCACCATTTAGGGCAGTTATCAAATTTTGTACAATAAGTACTTTTCGTACAATAATAATACACATTTCCAAAACCCCCTCCATATCTCAATTCCAGATACCAACAGTGACATTTAAATCAAATTGCAGGATTCCAGTCCTATCCCTTAACTTAATATTAAATTTAGTACGCATATCCAAAACAATTTACATATCTCCATCATAGACAAACTATAGTACTAATTTAGTACTTTTCGAAAAATTGTGGAACTGATTTGCCAGACTATTACCAGATCTCAACACCAGATACCAATAGAAAGCTCAATACCAAATTTCGGAATACCAGGTCTAGTAATACCATTCGTATAATTTTAGGAGTCATGTGCAAAACTGTTCCATATCTCAATACTAGTCACCGACAGTTGTTGCAATATAAAATTTCACAGTTTAAACTCCATGCCTTCGCCCAATACCAAATTTTGGTCAACTTTCTTTCCTACCTCCATATCTCAATTTCAAA